CCTTTCACTGGTATGTTTGATGAATTGGGTGCATTGACATTGGGTGCATATAGGTTGATAATTGTTATTTCCTTTTGGTCTATTTCCCCTTTATTAGTATGGAATGTCCTTCTTATCTTGTTTGATCAATGTAGGTTTGAAGTCTACTTTGTCAAAGATAAGTTTCTAATCCTGCCTGTTTCGGGGCCATTGGCTGGTAAATCTTCTTCAGCCTTTCATCCTAACCTATGCTTATTTCTATCGGTGAGATGGGTCTCCTGTAAGCAACAAATTGTTGGATCTTCCTTTTTAATCCAGTTCATCAAACAGTGCCTTTTGATGGGGAATAAGTCCATTAACATTAAGTTTTAGTACTGATAGGTATGTTGTGATTCCTGTTATTTAGTTGTCTTAGTTGTTTGAAGGTTTATTGTGTAGCCTAAATCGAGTTACTCTCTACTGTCTTGCTTTTTCTTTTCCTGTGTTTTGGTGCTGGCTGTCTTTCATGGTTAGTTGGGTTTCACTTTCTGTGTGCAGACTCCTTGAAGAATCTTTCATAGTGGTGGCTTTGTGGCATATATTGTTTTAGTTTCTGCTTATCATGAAGACTTTTTATTGCTCCATTTATTTTGAATATAGTTTTGCTGGGTAGAGTATCCTAGGGTTGAAGTTATTTTCATTCAGTGCTAGAAGACCTCACCCCAAGCTCTTCTTGCTTTTAATGTTTCTGTTGAAAGTCTGCTGTGATTTTGATGGGTTTATTTTGTATGTTATTTGTTTTTTCTCTCTTACAGCCTTCAATATTCTTTCTAGTCTCTGTACTTGTTGTTAATGATAATATGCCATGGGGTAGTTCTATTTTGGTGGTCTGTTTGGTGTTCTGGAGGCTTGCATCTGTATGGGCATAGTTTTTTCTAGATTTGGGAAATTTTCTGTAATTATTTTGTTGAATATATTACACATTCCCTTTGCTTGCACCTCTTCTCCTTCTTCAATGCCCATGATTTTCAGGTTTGGTCTTTTGATGGAGTCAGTGAGTTCTTGCATTTTCTTTTCACAGGTTTTGAGTTGTTTAACTAATAGTTCTTGGGTTTTTCCTTTAATTACCATTTCATCTTCGAGTTCTGAGATTCTGTCTTCTGTTTGTTCTATTCTGCTGGATTGGCCTTCCATTTTGTTTTGCATTTCTGTTTCATTCTTTTTTCTGAGGTTTTCCATATCCTGAGTTTCTTCCTCTTTAATGTTCTCTGTTTTTGCCCTGAGTTCATTTATCTCTTTATTTATCTTGTTCTTTGTTTCACTTTGGTGTTTGTACAGTGTTTCTATAGTTTTTTTTATTTGTTCTTGTGCTTTCTCAAATTCTCTGTTTTTGTTGTCTTGGAATTTCTTGAGTGTCTCCTGTACATTTTGGTTGACCATATCCAGTATCATCTCTATAAAATTCTCATTTATTACTTGCAGGATTTCTTCTTTCAGAGTGTTCTTGTGGGCTTCATTGGGTTCTTTGGCATCGTTTATCTTCATTTTGTTGGAGTCTGTTTGGATCTGAGTATCTGTTTTCTTCATTTCCCTCTGGTTCCTGTACTAATTTATTACTCGGGAAAACTGGTTTCCCTCTTTTTTCCATCTTCCTGGTCATTACCCTTGCCATTGTTTACTGTCCCGTACTGTGTGTTAATTCAGTAGTCTAAGCTTGTAATAATAACAATGGTGGTGTCTTGGAATTTCTTGAGTGTCTCCTGTACATTTTTGGTTGACCATATCCAGTATCATCTCTATAAAATTCTCATTTAATTACTTGCAGGATTTCTTTTTTAGAATTATTCTTGTGGGCTTCATTGGGTTCTTTGCATCGTTTATCTTCATTTTGTTGGAGTCTGGATCTGAGTATCTGTTTTCTTCATTTCCCTCTGTTCCTGGTACTAATTTATTACTGGGGGAAAACTGGTTTCCCTCTTTTTTCCATCTTCCTGTCATTACCCTTGCTATTGTTACTGTCCCTGTACTGTGTGTAATTCAGTATTGTCTAGCTTGTAATAATAACAATGGTGATATTTGGTGGTATGCTTCTCTCGAGCTGGTAGGAGCTGGCGTCTGGAGCCCTCCTGGTTTCTCTGTTTACCGTGGAGTGGGGATGCTATTGTGGGTTGGGGGTGTGGTGGTGTCAGAGTTTTACCTCTTCTTGGTGGTTTTTCCTGCAAGGTGTGTCTCCAGTGTCTCTACAAGATTTTACTTTAGGAAGCATGCTTTTTGCTTCCTCCCTCTAGTCACCATCTTGGAATCTCTCTTCCTTTTTTTTTTTCAGCACTGTTTATCACATGGAATGTTGAGACTGGGAGATGGTAAGAGAAGTAAAAGAAAAGTAACAACAATAGGCAGCATGCGTCTCAGAACCAGCATGCTCGTGTGCAGCGAAAGACTTGGAAAAACTGATTTGGCTCTCATAATTCTAGAAGGAAGGGAACAAATCACATGTCACTTCATCTCATTCTGCTACTAGGATGGGTAGACACACAATAAGAATAACATGAAAACAATTAAACAAAAGTGGGTGAGAGTCCAGGTCCACAGGGAGAAAGGCAAATCCTATATGTTTATAATACTCTTGGATTTTTGCTGACAAAATAATCCACAACTCTGAATTCATCTCTATCTCTTGATAGTGACTGAATTTATGAGGTTTGGCTGTATTGTCAAATTAGTTTTTCTGCTAAATAGTGATTCTGTTGTTGGACATTTTAGAGGGACTGTTGAGATTGAATAAGAGCTTCTTTTCCTGTCACTTTCAATCTCTCTCTGATTTTCTTCCCAGGTTGTGTTACAGGTGGAAGTGATTTTAAGTTGCATAGTATTGAACTGGACTGTTCTTTCTTCAACTGACTAGATATAAGGACATAAATGAGATATGCTATCTCCAAAACTTTAGACCTTTCACTTTTCTGAAGGGCTTAATTTAGGCAGCTTTATTCATGTAAATTTACTAGGAACATGACATGTAATCTTTTATCATTTTAGTTGTTTAAGAATGCTTTATAAAAACAAAACACTGTTCCTGAAATGGATCACAATGAAAATTCACGCTTTCTAGGTACTTGTGTGCTTGAAGATTCAAAATCTCATTACAGTATTCTAGGCTAGACTTCTAGTGGAAAAAAATCACTGTGGATTATTGGATTTGCTCAAGGTAAAATATTGTACTTGCAAATAAATCCTAGTAAACAATATGAAACTCAAATTCATATAATGAGTTTAAAGGGTTCATTACTTTGGCTATTATAATGTGTACATCTAGAGAAAATGTACAGAAGTATTTTGTAAATTATTTTGATCACAACCCAAGGTAAAAAAAATACATAAAAAATTACATATCCACTCATGTACATGAAACTGAACTGAAATTTTCAGAGGCAATGTATTATGTTATCTCATTTAAAGCATTTCTGTCCTACCCTATCTTAAATTTTAGTCTTCTTATGACAGTTAAACTTCCTTCCTAACTGACTCACAGTTTGAAAAATGCTTCCTTACAGGACCCAAGTGCTCACATTACTCATATTTGCAAAAGCAATTTTTTTGTGTGTTCTCGTATGTCCTTATAGCTTAGTTGGATTAATTTATTGTGAACCAAGATTGTGGAAATCACTATGCCTTATACTTTCACCAGTCTGAGAACATCAGGAATGTTCTGAGGTTGTGGGGAAACCTGTGTGAGTAAAATGATGAACAATATCAGCCCTCATGGAGAACCTGTGCTGGAAAGGGTGAAATAAATTCAGAATTCAAGAATAACTGTTAGTAAAGAAACTCCTTTACTAGCACTTTCTGGGTAAAGGTGTTCTTGTCTAATCTAAGAGGGTCCACTGAGAAAATAGAGGCAGGGAGATTCTTTCATCTCAAGTCACATTGTTATTTTGAGTGAAAATCCAGGGTTATTTGTAAACTGCATACCACTTCACATGATTGAGTGGAATTTGTGCTAAAAATAAAGTGGTTTGTAAGTTCAGAAGAGGAAGTGGTGATGAAATTGTATTATAAAAATATTTGAGCTTCAGAAAACTCAGAAAGACTCCAAGTGTCCCTTTACCTTATTTTTCTCAGTAAATTCATCTAATTTGTTTTTTTTTTTTAAAGACAAAATAGGTCTTTTAGAGAAATGGGAGGTCCTGTCTAGTCTTTCACAATGTTTTCTAAATAAACTCTTAAAATCCCTCATTTGGCATTTACTCATCTAAATCCTTTTGAAAAAATAGGAATAAAATTAAGCATTTCTCTAGTCATCAGGGCATGAAACCAAAGATTGTCACTTGCTGGGTGACAAGAGTCTATATTTTGTTCTTCTCATCCCCAAGTATTTTGTGAACGTTTACCCAAGAGAACATGCAAGCTACACATGTACTAGATGTCCATCCACTGCGTCTTACTTCTAAGAGTTACAGATGTAAAATGGTCCATGTGGAAGGTCATCTCAGCTTCAAAGCAGTCAGTCTTCAGTAGACTTCTGTACACATCCTCACTTGTTAGCTGTGTGGGTCTTAGAAATAAGCTCATTCTGCAAATATGGGTGTAACAGTTCCTTGGGAAAATGGAAATCATGTAGATACAAAAGAGCAGTGTAGGGACAAAATAAGCAAGGAGAATGCTCTTAAAGTACTGATTCTAAGTAAAGACATAGCCCCACTACCTCTATCCTTGGCATTCAGCGGGAGTTTTAATTTTCCATTTATTTTTGTGACTAATCTGTAAGAGTCTCTTTCTTTATAGTGCCCTCACAAGACCATAGACTCCATAAAGATAGAGATTTAATTTTTATTCTATTATTACCATCTACCCAGCACCAAGCACTATGGTTAATATATAATAAGTGTGCAATGAATCTTTATCAGATGAATAATGTACTATAAGGTAATGTGGCATGTTGTCTTAAATGTACTTCAGTTTAGCCCAATCTTTGTTTATGATTGATTCACTACTGAAGAGCAAATGATAATAATTCACAATGTTCTTTTTTTATTATTTTACAGTCAACTTTGACCACTTTGAAATTTTGCGAGCTATTGGAAAAGGCAGTTTTGGGAAGGTGAGAACTGAATTGATTAACCTCCAGTAGAGTTGTGTAGCTTGGAACAGAGTCTAAGAATGTTCAGATTATTGAGATATAGGTACCATAAAGAAAACAAATTAGAAATATTTTTATAATGACTTTGTATAAGATTGTCACCACAATTTGAGGAAAGTATGTGAAAAGGCAGCTTCATAATTAACATATACTGTTCTCAGAATTATCTTATTCAAGTCAAATCTGATTATTCTCACTAGAGTCTGAGAGTTTTCCTTCTACCCTAAAGGAAATTAAGATTTCAGAATCATTTTCAAATTGTACAGCTGTTACTCTAATAATAGTTATTTTGTCATTGAAAGAGCTACTTTCTTTTCACATGGGAAAGAAGCTGTCTGGTTTCTACTTCTTTTTCCCCATTGAACTATGTTTGTTTGTTTTTTTTAAATCTACTATGAAAAATATGCATAGTCTGAATTTTTGTAAGAATCTTCTAGTTTCAAACCTTAACTTTTTAGTCTGTAATGTATGCCATAGACTAAAGAGAATTAAAGAGTGAATAATATGTCACATAAACTTGCATTTACTTTACCAGGTATTATATGGGCTTTAAAGGAATTTAAAAATATGGACATTATACTTTGTGATTCCTTATGTGTAGAATCCTTTTCATGATATCATCTAGGCTGTAAACAGAAACTCTTTGCACAGTGTTGTTCATCTTTACAGTTTAGTTGTGTCAATTTCAGCCCCTGCAAGCAGTAGTAAAGATTTTATTTGTTGTTGTTATCGGAGGATTCTTGACATGGAGGCAGATTTTCAATCTCTGAAAAATCTTAGAAACAAAAACGGACAAACTTTTTTGAGAAAGCAGAGGTTCAATAATTGACCTGGTGCCTAAAGGAAAGAAAATGAAAATTTCATTCTGAAATCAGAGCTAAATAGGAACTTTCACAGCAGAGACTTTGCAAATGATGAAGCATCATGCCAGCTAAAGATCAAGCCCTGTTCTGTCTCTCAGAGCCATGATCTGTCATTTCCCTAACTGCTTGCTTGGGTTTGCATCATTAGGTCTGCATTGTGCAGAAGAATGACACCAAGAAGATGTATGCCATGAAGTATATGAACAAGCAGAAGTGTGTGGAGCGCAATGAAGTGAGGAATGTCTTCAAGGAGCTCCAGATCATGCAGGGGCTGGAGCACCCTTTCCTGGTGAATTTATGGTAAGTGGTGTGACGACAGACCCTTTGAATGGAGCTGCTCCTGTCTCCATCCCCAAACACCATTACACAAACCCATCATGATTCCTGAGTGTGCATTTGCAAAGGTCTCATTGGGATCTTTCTCAAGCATTTTTGGTCTCCTAGATTTTTTTGGAAGGTGTTTCCTTTTTCTTTTTCCTTGTGCTGTGGATTGAACCTAGGGTTTCGTGCATGCTAAGCAAATGCTCTGCAAAAAAATTTTATTGTTCCAATAAATATGTCTTAGTTCAGTTGTCAGAAGTCCCCTGTCCTGGGTTTTGAACTCAGGGCCTCACTCTTGCTAGGCAGGAGTGATTTGAACCACATCCTCAGCCATTTTTGCTTTAGTCATTTTTCTTGTGTTTCTACCTGGGCTGTCCTGGACTGTGATCTTCCTATCTGTGCCTCCTACATGGGAGGGATGACTGTAATGTATCAATGTATCCATCTTACTGGTTGAGATGAGATCTCACTAAATTTTTGCCTTGACTAGCCTCAATCCTCCTAATCTCTGTCTCTCAAGTAGCTGGGATTACATATATGACCCACTGCACCAGGTTCGAGGGCAATATTTTTTAAAGCATTGTGATTAAGTGAGCTGACAAGGAATGAACTCAGGTGTCTTTCACTCACTAGCTAGTTTTTCCCATAAACTGTGGGGAAGAGACTTTGGGTACAAAGTATGTCCTCCCTGGTTAGCATTGCTCTTTGAAACTTGTACAAATCACTTTCTTCTTAAAATAATTGGTAACAGAACTAATTTCTTTTTAGTACACCTTGTAAATAGCTACAGATATACCTGTCACTTGGAAAAGGATAGGCACTGCCTTTCTCATCCAATAGGTTTGAAAAGAGTGGGAGTTAACTTATGTCAGTGGCTACACATTAACTCTCTGCGATCAGTTCTCAAAACCATTACCACAATCCAAGGTTTAGAAAATGCTGAAGAACTGGCGGTGTCTATTACCCCTGCTCTTCTTGAGGTCTTTATGCTCCTCTCTCATCTTGCTTTACATTTTAATGCAGCCATTATGTTAAGAGCCAGTTCTTAAAGCTAATTCAGCATGACTGTTACTTAAATATGCATGCCAAGCAGTTCTTACTCACCAGCAAAGCAAAGGATATGAAAGGTCTTTATCCAGAGAATGTTAAAATGCTAATGGAAAAATAATTGAGATTTTACTATGTGTTTAGGGATCTTTTTGGAGGAATCAGTGCATAAAACCTGCCTCCATCTGTCTTTAACTAGTACAGTTCACTTAATATACAATTTGCTCAAAGCCTTTATGCCACAGTTGAAAAGAAGATGGCTCTGTGTGACTTTGAAATAGATCTCTTTATAGTTTGTGCACTACTCAGACATGGTAAGAGTCTCATTTCGGCTCAGCCTCAGTGTATTTAATCAGTGTTTTTAAAGTGGCCTATTCAAAATGCTGCCCTGTAAAACATTAAAATGGATGATGCTCTCTCTTCCTTAGTAATCATCAAAGTGACTTTTTCCCTCTCTTTCTCTACCTTAAGAATGAAAAGGTGCTGTCATTTCACTGCCTCCCTTTGTTCAAAGGCATATTTTCCTTCTTTAAAAGTTCAGCCAAGTAATTTTATTTTGGTGGCCAGGCTCTCCCGGTGATGAACATTTGGCCCTTTTGTGTTTGTCTCTCATTGCTGTGTGGTCAGAGTTGATTTCGTTATAATCCTGTGTTTTCAAAATATATGAATGTATGAGACTTCAGGCTGCACAAAGTTTAAAATTTTTGTTATTTGGATGTACTATAGTTTACTCTGGCAATCTTTCATGTAAGGACAGAATTATTTATCTAAACATTAGGCTATCAAAACCTAAACCTCTTTGTATTTAATAGAGAAAAGATTCACATTCTAAATTCCAGAAGAAAAAATTAAATTCTTCCAATGCTTTATTTTAATACTATGCTAATAAATATAATTAAAATAAAAATAGTATATTTGAAAAATTTGGTATTGGTAAGAAAATAAAGGGCCCCAAAAATGTGACCACGTGGAGGGTGATCTGGCCAAGAGATTCTTTTAATTGCCAGGTGGGAAGAGGTAGAGAGCAGGGCCAAGAGAGAGAGGGAAGAAGAGGGGCAGGGGCTTAAATACCCCTCAGTGGGACTCAGCATGATCTGATTGGTTACAGAATCTTAATGGTTTCATGCTGATTGGAGGGTTGGGGCAGCAGGAGGGTTCAAAGCTTAGACTTGAGGCAGGACCTTGGACCCAGGAAAACAGAAGCTTAAGGGTAAAAGTAGAACTGAAACCCATCGGTGCCCATTATTGCCAACATTCCTCCCTTTTTTGTTTTGTTAAGGAAGGGGGACGTTGTGTTCCTTCTGGCTTCTTCGAGTTGGTCAAGGGGCGGCGTAGGGGAAGGGAGGTCAGTTTGGCAAACAGTGTTTGGGTGCTGAGGCCTCATGATGGCGTACAACCCAGGCTCAAAAAAATGAAGATTTCCTCTGTCCCTGAAGTTGATGAAGGTCCCCTTGTCTAGCACAGGTCGATAAAAAGTCTAGACCAATCCGTCCGACCTCTGCGTGGTGGGGTATCAGCCAACTATCCTCGCATTTTTTAGAAGAAGTTGGTATCCCGGAGTACAACTGGGTTAAATTTTTTTGATTAAGCAATAGCAGACAGTAAGTATGATACAAGGGAGGAAGCTAAGAATAAGAAGAGTCAAGGAACACAGGCATTAGGTAGGCTTGGCCAGGGAACCACTTGGAAATGTTCTTCCCTCCTAGATATTTCAAGAGTCCTCCAAGGTTTAGCCCTTGGCCCAACAAGACCAAAAATCAATATGTTCTCCTCATATGTGGACATTAGATCAAGGGCAAACACAACAAGGGGATTGGACTATAACACATGAATAAAAGCGAGAGCACACAAGGGAGGGGTGAGGATAGGTAAGACACCTAAAAAACTAGCTAGCATTTGTTGCCCTTAACACAGAGAAACTAAAGCAGATACCTTAAAAGCAACTGAGGCCAATAGGAAAAGGGGAAGGTACTAGAGAAAAGGTTAGATCAAAAAAATTACCTAGAAGGTAACACACATGCACAGGAAATCAATGTGAGTCAATGCCCTGTATAGCTATCCTTATCTCAACCAGCAAAAAACCCTTGTTCCTCCTATTATGCTTTATACTCTCTCTACAACAAAATTAGAAATAAGGGCAAAATAGTTTCTGCTGGGTATTGAGGGGGGTGGAGGGAGGGGCGGAGTGGGTGGTAAGGGAGGGGGTGGGGGCAGGGGGGAGAAATGAACCAAGCCTTGTATGCACATATGAATAATAAAAGAAAAAAGAAAAAAAAAAAGAGTCCTCCAATTCCCTTCTCCATTTTCTAATTGTTTCTTGAGAGGTGCCACCATTGGGGGACCCATTGAGCTTGACAGCAGTGGGTGTTATGAGAATGACCAGATGAGGGCTGGTCCATCAAAGTCCCAATGGAGAGGGTAGAATATCCTTTTTGGAGAACAAGATGCCCTGGTTTAACAGAAATTGTTATAGGGTGGGGCAGGATCTGGTCTGCATGCTCTCTGAGAAGTTCCCTGAGAAGGCAGAGGAGCAGAGTCTGTTGGAGGCAAGTTTTTCTAAGAGAAATGGGTGGCCATACATTATATAAGACCCAAATAGGAATATTACGAGGAGCATAAAAAGGTGTCTGCTCAGGGACTACATACCTAGGAATCTAAATTCTGCAAAATCCTATAACTGCCAGGAAAACTGTAAGCTGTCTTATGGTATGGGGGTTGGGAAATGGAAGATTGGGTTGATGCATTTAAGACTCAGGGAGTGAGTCTGTCCCTTTAAGGCCACACCTAGGTAGGTGACCTGTGGGAGGCAGGGGCTGTCAGGATTTAAACGTAACACTCTTGGATAAAAGAAAGCTTTTGCTCATTATTTTATATAAATTGACACCTTTAACCTTTTAAATGTTTGTACCGTATTTAGATAAAGTATAACATAACACTGTTACAAGGTGGTCATTTAAGACACATAAGCAAATATGTAAATGAACTCTGATTTAGTAGTACTTAAAGCTTGACAAGATCAGCAGAAAACACAAATAATTTCTTTGATAAAATCTTTCTCTGTAATGGTTTTTTGTAGATGTTACTCAGAGCAGAACAATATTAAGATAACCTTGTTATTTCATAGACATAGAGGATTTGATTTTAGTTTGACATGACCCTAAAAATCTTTTAGGCAACTCTTAGATTATATTTAACCTTAACTTTATCACACATTGAAGTTTTTATTATACACTTTTAAAACTTACTCAGACCTTTATATAACATACTAAACCTTTGATGGTTTGTTTATCCTCCTATTTGAAACAATCTTTAGGATAAACCCTTTTTTACAAAATCCTTTCTCATCCAAAAAATCATTCCTTTTTCCTTTAACTTCTCAAAAAATACATTTATTACCTATCTATATCCTTTCCAGTTGTTTACTTTGTAACTTGCATTTTAAAATTAACTTTTATAAGAATTTTAAATTTATTATAGGGGCTGGAGCAACTAATTAGTAGCCCTTGTTGTTTTAAGGAATAGATAGCATAAGGCCTCATCATCCCTCAGGCTTGAGGGGATATTTGTTTTAGGTGTGGAAACTGTGAGGGATTTTTGAGTTTTATTTGAATAGGGAGGGCCATCCTGGCTCACCCTACACTCATCTCATCAGTCCACACTGTGGAATCTCTTTGTTCCTGAAGGAGGGGGCAGCAGAGATAGCTGCCTGGGGGGAGGAGAATTTGAGCTTTTAATTGAGATAGTAAATCCTGTCCAGCAGGGACACTGGAGTTTCTATGGGAAAGAGTGACAGAAGAGGAGGTCTCCCAAGAGCAGGCCAGAGGCCAGGTAAACTAGCTCTAGGGGCTGGCCAGATTTGCCCCGAATGATAACTTTTGTCATTGGACCGGGGACCAGGAGAAAAAGGTAAAACAGAGAAAGGGCTCCACTGT